GAAAAGCTCTCATGCCCATCGCTGCACCAATCACTGTGTCAGGATTACTCTGACTGGCTTACAGCCACACTGGAAGCACAGAAACTGAGAGTGGGAAAGTGACGGTTCCCTAGACAGAAATTGTCCATAGTGTGGCTGATGAACAGTTAAACCACACATGTCTACTCTACTTACTTAAAAGTGTTGCAGTTGACAGAACTTTACGTTAGCTCTCATCTTTAGTGACATATTTAAATCCAGACGCTTTTATCCACCCCTCATTAAGGGAAATTTTGCAAGCCTCCAGATGACTCCCTCTACCATACACTGAAAAGGTCTTCTTTTCTGAGCTGCCAGGGTTTGGGGCTGCTGCTATTTCTCAGCATCGCACAGTGAAAGACACCTGATTCTAATTCCTCCTCTGCCACCTATTCACTGGGTAAACTTGTATTAAGTTTCTTAACCTCCCTGCGCCTTATTTTCTGAGCATGAGATCAGTACCTGCCCCAAAGGGCTCCTGGGATAACTGGAAGAGGTCAGTAAGTAAAATGCTTAGTCCTGGCTTCTAGTTGCTACTCACTGAAATGCCTCTAACCCTTCTCTGGGGTAAGAATGGGGCATCTGTCATGTAAGTGGTCCAGGGCACCATGGGAAATGCTGTTTCCAGATCTCAGGCACTTGAGCATACTGCTCTAGCAAGAACCCTGTATAAGTACAGGCAGAAGCCTTAGAGCAGAAAAGGAACTCAAGAGGTAGTCCGATGCAGTTCCAGTCTTTAGACTGCCATTGCAAATTAAATCCAAGAGGTTGAGTTACTAAAAGTCAGAAAATTAATTCCATCCCATCAGCAGTTATTTATTGAGCACCTACTATGTGCCAGGCATCACACAAAGTGCTTGGGGATACAGCAGTGAATGAGACAGACCTTGTTTCTACCCTTACCAAGAAGTATAGTCTGCTAGGGCAGACAAATATTAAACAAAGATCACAATGATGGGCATGATAGTGGAATGTCAAAGTGTCATGAGGAAAGACCAGTCAGGCCCTTCCCCCTCTGCCACACCGGCACTGAGATGTCTCCCTCTTTGACCTTGGCCTTGGGGCTGTTGTCCGTGGTGATCAGGAGGATGCTGATGGGTTCTGTGAACCCACGACCCTGGTGTTCCCTCTCCAGGCGTGAGATGAAAAGCAGCTTCTATTCGTCTCACCTCAGCATTCAAAAGTAACTCAATCTAGACTTATTTATTATACTTAATAAATTTATTTATGTATTATAACAAATAGAGTGTTTACTATGTACTAAGCATTTTTCTCAGTACTTTAAAGAAGCCACTAATCAAAGCAAAATTAAATGATACGTTGAATTCAAAATTCTGGTTTGCTTATGCAGTCCATGTCATTTAAAAAATGGCAGTAGAAGATCAAATGTATTCATTTAATGAATATTTATTGCTTTTTATAGCAGGATCCATCATGATTTTTTGAGTGCTTACTGTGTGCAAAGCTGGGCTAAGTGCTTTGCCTGTGCTGTCTTATTTAATCCTCTCAACCAGCCCTAAGAGACTGGTATGAGTATTTTCTCCCGCTTTACATATAAGAAGACTCAGCGAAGTTGGATGATTTGCCCAAGGTCTCAAACCTAGGGAATGGCTCAACCTAGCATCAAAGCCTGGATTGTCTGAGCCCAGAATCACGACTTGGAAACACTGCACTCTATCCATCCCCGCTTCTAAAAGTAAACAGATACAGTTCCAGGTGTTGATGAAGCTACTCTTGCAGACTTCAAAAAAACCCTCAAAACTGGTGATGCCAAGAGAGTGGAGTCAACGGGTGCTGTGGTGTGGTGTCAGTGGAGGGATTCAGCTAATCTCTGAGGAGGCGAGGAAGAAATTTGGCATATGTGGAAGGCTTTATTGAGGATATGAGAAAATGGTGGAGAAAACTAGTTCTTGAAAGGACGAGATGGGGTTATTGGAGCAGGATCTCAGAACTTAACTCTGATGTGCAGCCTAATAAACTACAGCCTGCTTGAGCCTTCTCTATGTTTCTGTTAATTGGGAGATAAATTAGAAATGAAGAAGGTTATACTTTAGCCCTCTCCACCTCACAGCTCCATAATTATGGGTAAGAATTTTTTTTATTTATTCAAGTTAATTTATTTATTGACTATACAAGCAGTCCTATTTTGAGGTCAACGTATTCTAATGTAATATGACGGACACCAAGGAGTAGCACTTCATAAGTTGATACAGGTGTTCAGTACACCTCACCCACCACCGCCGCTCTCCCACGTCAGCCCGTGAGGATCTCCAGCACTGTTCATCCACAGAAAGCTCATGACCCATGTGTATTCACATACACTGCAAGGGCAACATACTTACTTTTCTTTTAGGCGTAGCTATTTATTGTGTTTCCCCACCTTAGTGTAGCCTGCATTTGTCCTATTGCACTCATAGCAGGTCATAACAATGAACTTTGCATTGTACTATAGTTTCCCAAGTTCTTCCCACATATTCTATTTCAGCTCATCTTCCAAAACCCCATTCTTAGGCCCCAGTACGGTTGAAGAAACCTAGAATCAGAGGGATTAAATAATTTTCCCAAAGTTAAAAATAATAAATGGAAGAGCCAGAACTCCAATCTTTTGACTCTGAATCCAATATTCTTTCTAGAGACTGTTACTGCTGTGGGGACAAGTACCAATACTATCTTCCTCACCACTGTAGCTATGATACTTGGCACAGTGCCAGACACACAATGGTGTTCAAGAAATATATTTTTTTAATTTGTGAATGAAAAAATAAATAATAGGACTTGAGGAATTTTCTAATCTAACACATCTTGAATTTTCTGGATAACGAAACAGAAACCCACTAACATTAAATGAATTATCTAAGGAGCATTTGTTCTAAACTTAAAACAAGTTTCCCTTAATAATAGTCCACTGCTTTCATTATTTTTATTATGGTTCTTCTTATTGGTTTATATTTTTAACTCGGTCAAGTCTGGTGTATATTCATAACTGTTCTTACTACAGTTGTTCAATAGAAAAGCAAATATCCTGGTGCTTAGAGAGGGGAGACTCCTGAACATCATCATGCATAAAAATTTTGCTAAAAAGCTATTTCCTAGGTAGTTAAAATAAGAGTTAATAGCCCAGAAAAGAACAGAATATAAGCATCCTATCTGAAATAACAACAAAGGGTGCTAGGTTTCCCATTTCCATGAGCTTTGCTTTCCTTGAGTGTTGGAAAACCACACCCCTGTTCCCCCAAGCTTGGGGCTCTAACGATCAAGAATTGAACTCCAGCTCCACCGTTTGCTAACTATGTGACTTTGGGAAATTTGGTGAATGCCCTCACCTGTAACCTAGGAAAAGAATTCCTTTTCAAAAGAAGATTGTGAGCATTCAATGAGACACTTTCTGTACTGGCACATTGCATTCACATTTAAGTATTTGTTTCCCCATCTAGGGCCGGTGAACTCATCATTAAAGCCATTACCTGTCTTTTCCTTGACAGAAGTGTTTCAACATTAATTGGATTTAGTTTCCAAATACTATAAATTTTTAAAATTAATCTAAAGAATATGTTTGTTTAATATTTCCACTAAGCAAAATACTACCATAAACCAAACATACAGAATGTCTGACCAGTGGACAGAGATTAATTGGTCAATTATTATGCCCTAGCATATTTTATAGCTTTTCTTTTTCAAAATATTTCAGATTTGAATTTATAATACAGGGTCATTAAACCACATTTGAAAGCTAATTGTTAGTATATAATCTTAGCAAAATTCTCTTTGCCTTCTGCATAATTGATGAAGCTTAGAGCATTGTATCTTCCAATTAAATATTTGGTTATATCTCTTGCTTCCATATATCATCAGCACCTATAGTTGGCCATTTTTCCCTTATTTTATAATTTCAAAAATTTTATTGGCAATTGGTATATCTGGAGTTTTTACCAAAATAAATATACTGGTGTTAATAATAATGTATTGTGGCTAGGTTTCATTATCAGTAGCAATTGAGGCCTCTTAAAAATAAGACACAAATCTTCCCTTCTTAACAAAAGAAAAACCATTACATAATCATTTAATATTTGGGAATCATGATGTGAGTATTCATGGTGTACTTTTGGCTTTGCCTAGAAGAAATCAACCAAGAGAAAAAGGGTCACCCTATCTGCACAGCCACCTTAATTCCACTCCCTGGGCCCAGAATTCAACTCAGAACAGACAACTCTGGGCTGACTCTCTTCTTAAACCCTGCCTCCTTCCCTTCCCTCTGAAGCCAGTCCCCCACCCCACTCACCCCTCCACCACCCACAGTCTGTCCAGCTGTTATTTTTGAGTTCCTTGTCATTCCTTGCATTTTGGCTAGCCACATGTTGCCTCCGTTTCTACTGTTCAAAACTCTTCCTTTACCCTATTTATACTGATGTTGCATATTTAAGGTGACATCCTGTAACTGTGGGTGTTAAGAAGCATCAAATAAACGAAGTTATACAAAAATACTTCTGGCATATACAGCAAGTGGTTAATAAATGTTACCTACTGTTTTTAGTTGTAGTTTTATCACGAATTCATCTGTAATTAGGCTACTATTGTGAGCACAATTCAGTAAGTAATCCCCTAATACTATTTCATACCTAATACAGTTTCATTTTCTATGTTTTTGTATCAAGACTGCAGATTCCTTAAAGGGTGTCATGCCTTCTATTTCTCGGCATGCCCTAAGTAGAAATAATGAAAATGGTACCGGCAACAGTCTATTATATCATTCCATCATTACAGCAATCATTATAGCAATAGCATTTAATAGATGGTGACACTGAAGCTCATATAGCTTGTAGTGGCAGAGCTACAATTCCAACTTACATAGTGTCACCACAAAGCCTGTTCTCTTAACCACTGTGATAAATGCTACCTAAACTCCATATCCTAGAGCCTTGCAAAATAAGCACAAATAAAGGCTTATTGTTTTGATTGTCTCATTCGATTCTTCTCCCTTGCAGATGGACCCCCATGAGAACATCTTACTGAGCACTCTTGAAATAAAAAACGAAATGGCCACATCTGAGGCTGTGATGGGACTTGGAGACCCCAGGAGCACAATGCTGGCATATGATGCCTCCAGCATCCAGTATCGGAAAGCTGGGTTGCCCAGGCATAGTTTCGGCCGAAATGCCCTGGAACGACACGTGGCACAAAAGAAGAGCCGCCTGCGGAGACGCGCCTCCCAGCTGAAAATCACCATCCCCGACTTGACTGATGTGAATGCCATAGATCGGTGGTCCCGCATTTTCTTCCCAGTGGTTTTTTCCTTCTTCAACATCGTCTATTGGCTTTATTACGTGAACTAAAACATGGCCTTCCATGGGAAGCAAGGACTAGATTCCTCCTCAAACCAGTTGTACAACCTGACGTAGGACTTGGAAAACACATCAATCCAGGACAAAAGTGATGCTAAAATACCTTAGTTGCTGGCCTATCCTGTGGTCCATTTCATACCATTTGGGTTGCTTCTGCTAAGTAATGAATACACTAAGGTCCTTGTGGTTTTCCAGTTAAAATGAAAGTGATTTGTACACATGCTGGCAAGATTAAATCTGAATGTTCCACTTTATCTGCTTAGTACGCAGCCTCTACAAAGGGGAATTATTTAGAAGACATTCTTAGAAGGCTCAATAACATTGTCAGTCATTTCGTTGAGAAGTGATCATATCCAGATACTTCCCCCTCTTTACTCCTAGGGTTGGCGTGCCGTTGAGATGGCACCGTGCTTATGAAACATTATCTGCAATGCCATGCAAACATGCTTACTGAAGATGGTCTATGCCTGGCTTAATAAGGTGATACTGGTGCCATGGGAAGATAATTCCCACTGGATTCTAGAAGGTTCTCATGTAGTTCAAATGGGCTAGGGGGAGTCAAAACAGAGACTCAGGAGACCAATTTGGCCAGTCTCTGCATGAGCACAGGGAATCAACTATGACGTCTTCTGTTTTGAAATTTAGAGACCGGGAGACTTCTGAATATTATCGTGCATGGTGGCTAAAGAAATTTTTCTGAAATGCTATTTCTTAGGTGATTAAAATAAGAGTTAACAACCCAGAGCAGAGTGGAAAATTCTGAAACAACTGTTGTAGCAAAATTAAAGCAAGCGAGCGGCATGACACTTATCAGCCCCACACAGCATCTGGTCTATACATACTGTGTTCAGTGGCAAAAGGTAGAGCAAGAGAGATTTTTTTTCCAACCTCACAAGCTTTTGACAGCATACCTACAGAGGTTTTTATAGTTTATCTAATCAAAAGCTAACCACAAAATAGAAAAGTTAGCAGAATTAGAAGTATCTTAGATGTGGATTCGATTGGGAGTCATTCAAATATACTAACAGAGAGCACAGACAAAGCTAGCAAACAGGTTGCTTTTCTCAGGCAATGTCAGCTGTCCCTGCAACATTTCCCTATAAGTTTATTTTTGAATTTAATAGCATATTTCAAAAGAAGGATTTGTTCATTTCTTTAAGGGATTAATGGTTCTTTACAGGTTTTCCTGCTTCTGAAATTCTGATTATATTCTAAGGAGATAGACAAAGTAAGACTTTGGAGAGATTGTGTGAACTGTATTTCCTTCTGTGCAATGAAGTTCACCTTTGTATTTTCATAGCAAACAATACTTCAAAGATTATGTGCACAGGTAGAGTTAGTTTGTGGGTTTGTTGGGTTTGATTTTTTTAAGGATGCTTTCATTTCGTATGTTGCAATCTGCCTATCAAAGAAAATATGAAAACTAGTGGAAAATAGGACAAGAACAAAGCCACATTAACATGATGAATGTTATGAGCCTCAGTTGATATTGCGGAAAAACATATAACTGTAATCAGGCAGGCACGATGTATTGTTTTTATTCTATTTTTAAATTATGTTATTGTGCTTCTTTCTATACTAATTGGACATATGCATTCATATGTTGGACAGGAAAGAGAATAAGATAATATATTTTTTATTTCTATCAATGTGAGGTTCATATTTTGCTTTTCTTGGAGAAAATAGTGAATTGCTACATTTTCCTTAAGGTTCGATTTGATTGAACTTTTTCTTGGAGGATGACTTTGCTATTTCTGTTTAAAAAACAAAAAAAACCACTTCTTTTTGGAGTAACATTCCTAATTGTGCATAGTAGCCAAGGCCAGTATCTGCCTGTGAATAAATGTATGTTTTCTTCCCTTGATGATTCAGCAGCTTGGAATATGTTGGGGTCCTGCTGCCCTTCTCTTCCAACCATCCAAGAATAACAACACAAAAGATTTAGCATTCAGCTTTCTGACTTTGCCCCAAGATGGGATGGTATTTTTTTTCACCAGCATAGGGAACTCTGGCCCTTATTTTTTGATTGTACACTTGAATACCTCTGAGTATGATCTTTGGGCAGAATCCAACCAAGTTCCTGCCCATGGGCTCAGAGTAGCAATTCCTCAAGTTTCTCCAGGGACATACTTTCTCCCAGGCAACCATATGGGGGCATCACACTAATAAAAGTGCCTGCCCCTTATGGCCAGGGGTTAAAGTTTGAGTAGCATATATTAAGAAGGAGCATATCGATAACTCAGGTGCACAACTCCAAAATGCCATTCTGGAAAGGTTTTTCTAGAGACAACTCAGAGCCCAACTCTAGAAGTGGGCTCTTATTTGCAATTATTGTAAAAGCCATAAAAATCCTGGATATTGTCATTTATGGTTACAACAAAATTTTGATGTCCAGGGAAGTCAACAGAGTAATCTAGATCAAAGTGGAAAGAAGCAACTTTACATCAAGATCCTCAAAAGCACATGACCAGGGATTCATTTCTGCTCTTGGTGATAAGAAGAAGCTAGAAAAGGAGAAAGATGGGACCTTGGAACAGATGCCCTAGGGCAAAATCCATATATTGGCATTCAGTAACCACGTAGGTAGAAACAACTGACTCATCCTGCCCAGAGATAACAGTAGACATAGAATTTATTCTTAAACTATATTTTTACTGTAGTTGAATTGGATTGTAGTCACCAAATTGGGGAGGGTCGGGGAGGGGTGCTAGATCTCACAAGGCTACGAAGATCAGTCAGCTTGATAGCCAGTGGTTAAATTTAAGGACCACAAAAGTGTGTTTTGGCAATTCTGATATGGTATTATTATCAGTTTATACATATGTATAGTTTTTCTTTTGATTATAAAACAGCCAGATAGCCAGCAATTAAGGTGTTTTTTCATCTTTGTGAAATTCATAGGCAAATTCTGACTCTAAAATGCACAGTCTAAATGAAATCTTTGATCTCAATCTGTATATATGTATTGTACATGACTCTAGTAGGTATGAAATGCATTTTCAGAATCGAAAACTCATGCAACATAATCGTGTTTGCATAAGGAATGTTACAATTCTTTCTACTGCAATTTAACAACAGGAGAAAAGACTCAAGCAGTGCCATCTAGATGTTTTCTCTTCTCATTTCTTCAAAAGCAGTGCTAAGTAAAAAAATAATAACAAAAATGGTTTATGAACCAAAAGACTTTACATTCTAGCATTAGAAACACAAAAAAATTTGTCAGCTTACAAAAGCACAAAACATAGAGAAAGTTCAGTGGAATGCGTAATGGGGAAATGAATAGTTTATTTTAAGCAAGACCTGCGTTAAATTGGCAACTAAGACAACTTCCATTTTCTATAGGTAACTGTGTTGCAGTCTTATGACTAACTTCATACTCAACAACAAAAACAGCAAAACAATCAACAAACAACAGGTCTTACAACATATCTACATGTATATATGTGTATATATAGATCCATATAAACATACATACATAGATATGCATTCATATGTTGGAAAACAAAAGGAATAAGCTAATATGTTTTATTTCCTTCATTAAACCAGAGTATGAGTATTTTTAATTTTACAACCAACAAATCAACATATTGAAACAAGTAATACAGGGTACTGAGCATTTCTCTATTGGCAAATCAATGCCTACAGTTCTTAGGAACCATTGCACAGTTTGACACTACAATAGTACTGTACCTCAGAATATCAGAAATTAACTAGTTCTCACATTGCTTGTCTACTTGCTTTCTTTTTCAAGAAAACAAATAACATTTTCCATTGGTGAGTTACAAAAATGTCTTAAGAAAACAGAAAATGATAAAAAAAAAAAAAAAATATTCCTCCTAGGAGGAGGAAGAAAAAAAAAACTAAACCCCACCATGTTGGTTAGGGCAAATATTCTCAACTGTAGCAATCATGCCATTTTGCTAAGTGTACAGAATACATGTAATGTGAGCAACCATAACTTTCACTGACCATGTGTAAATATTAAAACAGATTTCTTAAATATTTTTAACTTCTAATTTGTATTTTATGGTAAGGCAACGTGCTAATTCTGTTAATGGCTTAAGTTAATGTGTTATAATATTATGTAAATAATTAAACATGCTGTAAATGAATAGTCAATAGATACAAATAATTGTTTAGTTTCTTTTTCTTAATTTTTATTGATTTTTTACTACGTACAGTTACTGCAGTGCCCCAGCAGAGTAATTTAAACACCCTTTGGCATAAATGGTTTGGGATCCCAGACAGAATGGTTTCAATTTCAATTTGCTATCACACACACACTCACACACATATATACACACACACGCACACACATACACACATACTCTTTCACTTGCCCACTCACTCACTCTCTCGCCCTCTCCGCGGGGATTGCTGTAGTGTTAGCGCAGTCAATGTAACAACCAAGAGATAGCCTTAGAAATGGCAACTGGGAAAAGCAGAAACAATCATTGATAACTTGATAGCGTTTTTTATATGTCAGAGTTCAAGAAACCAAAGGTTGTAACTTACATCTCAATTTTCAAAGAGTAAAAGTTTATATTGATGACACTACAGAAAATAGAAGTGCTTATTATTCATACTTGCTCCAGAAATTTGTTACACACAATACATGCTAGAAGACTTTTTTTTAATAATAGCATTTTGTCCTTAGATAGTATTGTTCCTTTCAACCAAAGACTCCAGAATTATTAAAAAACAAAAAAAAGAAAAAAGGAAAAATAGGGGAAAATGGAAAAAAAAAAAAAAGACACTGCTTCACACCAAAGGTTTAAAAAATATTTTCCAAATACACTAGGAACATTGTAAAAAATAGTAAGGAGCCAACAGAATGCTAATTAAGATACTACTCTAAAGAAACCATTTAATAAAAAAAAGCAGCACTCTTAAATATCTATTAGTTATTTGGAAATTAAAGGAAGACATTTCTGTAGATATATGCAAAATTCTGACATCAGATTTTAATTTGCTTTGAGAAGTTCTTTTGTGATAAAGATAAATATGCTCCAAAATGATGAAAAACAAAACTTTGTGTTTTTAACTTTCAAAAGCAAATGTCTCTCTCCTGTCCCGTGTCCACTAATCTGATGTCCACATGTGTGTCCTTGTGCCATAGGAAGCAAGTTGACAGTTCCATCAGCTTGTATCTTTCCCTTTACAGTTCAATAATTTGAGCTCAACAATGGTCATTTTAAACATAATTAATTCACATAAAGTTGCAAATAATTTAAATTCCATAACATTTTGTATTTTTATTTGCATGGGTGTTTAAATAGTTCTGTTATGAATATTGTCCCTGCACAGTTCTGAATTGTCCTTTTATAAAAAGTGATATTCTAGTTTCTTCACAATGTAGTGATAATCAGCCTTACTAATGACCTTGTAGCCTTTCTTAATATGCACATAATGCACATTTTCCAATGGCTAGAAAATACAAAACACAAGTGGATATCATTGCATCTATTTTCATGTCTTTCTAAAAACAGGACTGCTAAAATCTCTGGGATACATGAGATAGTAACAAATGAGGAATATAAATGAGTAGCACATAAGAATTATTTTCTTGAATTTAAACTTATTACAGTCAGTTTCAGCATGTAAATATATAATAATGTTGGCTAGTGTGTAATTCTTGAACTAAGAAATATAAATAAAACTTAAAAGGATGTGTGTGTATATGTGGATTCCTTGGGTGCAGAATTATTTTTTTATCTATTAGTGTGAGTTAGGTTGTAGAATTATGGCTTTTGTGAAAAGCAATGAAAAGCTTGGAAACATG